AAGCAAACCCAAAACACATGGGTTTATAGGCAGGCAAAGAAAAACACACTGATTCTTTCAATGTTTTTTTAGAGTATATTAATTTTCATGTTTAACTAATAAACAACAATTTACTTCATGTAAAAATGTGCTCAAGCTTCAATATGCCACTAAGACATAAGAGATGTAAATTCCTGGTCAGTTAACTAATTGTAAATATGCTCACGATTTTTCCCAGTGCATCACACACGCCCCTGTCCTTCCCCAACCATGTAACCTACCGACCTGTCCCATTGATAGTGCCCTGTCTACCTCCTTTCAGGGCTAAGGTCAGGTCCAGTAAAGACTTTCCTTGGTCATTCTATTGCTAAATTATTCACTTTTCTGCTGAACACATATAAAGTCTATAAATTCTTGTTGACATATAATCTATCCAGTATTGCTATTTCGTTTTTTACAAATATAGAATGAATCTTCTCAACAGAATTTCAACATCTTCAGGAGCAAAATCTAAGTCTGATACAGATCTTTTCTCAATCCGTAGTACACAGCTCGTCCATAAATGTACATTACTCTACCCCAAATTAGACTTTAATTTATTAAATTGTGTATTGCTGGTTTAATGCAGCAGTCCAACACACAAAAATAATTTTAAATAATGCTTTTGTAATCTTTTATAATATCTACCTTTTCAATAGCTATCTGGTTGCTGCCAGAAAAACCAAAACACGTGATTTATATAACTTCATTTGCGTATGTAATAAATCAGTGAACAGAACAGAGTTGAAAGATAATCCCTGTGACATTCCACAAGACATCTGAGTGGTGACAAGCTAAACCCTGTCATTTAAGTATAGCTTTTCCACAGATTAAAACTAAGAAAGAAGAATAAAGACTCTATAGTCTATTCCACTAACTATAGAGTTAGTGGAATACTAAAGGTGAATGAGCAGACGCTTTATTCAAGATAAGGTAACCTAAGTCCACATCCGCTTTCCTTAAAAGAGTAAAACACATTTGTCGTAACTGTTTATTGATTACTAAACTGCTGTTGCAACTGACTACTGTATTCTTTTTTTTTTTTTGTCTTTTTCGTTTTTACCGGTACCAGGGATCGAACTCACGACTGCCTGCTTGCAAGACAGGCGCTTATGCCGCTGAGCTAAATCCCCAGCCCCGACTTCTGTATTCTTATTTAAATGTTGTAAATCATCTACTGCGACAGTTGAGTGTAATTTCTTTTAAAACCCCCAGAATATTCTGACCTGCTGCAGTCTTCTAGGTTCATTCTGTTTCCCCTTATTGCTCACAGTCAGCCTCTCCGAGAACACAGCTGCCACAGAGCTCCCCAGGCACGGCCTTGCCTGCACCTCGATTTGGCCAGGCAGACCCATTCTGGACTCCTGACCTCCACAACACTAAGGTGATAAACCTAGGTTGTTCTAAGTTTGTGGTAATTTTCTGCCACAGTAAAAGAAAACTGGCAGAGTCCCTCATTCAATACATCTTGGCTCAAAACCAAGCTGCTGTCTCTCTGATAAGATCTCACGTTTCTCACCCCGATTCCTGATCTGGTCTTTAACAAAATTTCACCCTACCCTCTAATTTGTTCATCCCTCAAGAACACACATTTGTATCTTGTTCCTTTACCTGTTCATGTGCCTACATTTTCACTTACAAAGTCTAATTCCCATTTCTGTGGCTTTCCCAAAAAACTGTCATAAAACTGGGTTACATTTTAGCTCAGCCCAAGGGAACGAAGTGGGAATGCAAATTTTAAACATCTAAATTGGACAGTAATTCCTATTCCCACACAAGTCTACCAATATTAAAGACAACATAGGTTCACCAAGAAAAAAACCATGCCAAATTAATCTAACATTCTTGTGAGAGGATAATAAGTTGACCATTCCATTAAGGGAAATTTTGGGACAGAGCATAAACTAAGTTTGACAAAGTTTTCCTTAGTAGTCATGAGAATAGATTAAAGTTTCCATATAATCAATACTTTGAACCTTGAACCACCTGTGTTGGTGGGAATGTAAAATGGTGCAGCCATTATAGAAAATGGCACGGATGCTTCCCAAAAAAATTAAAAATGAAATTTCAAATGATATAGCTCACTTTAATACACATACACACGCAAAATAATTCAAAGCAACATCCCAAAGAGACATTGCACAATAGCCCAGGGCTAGAAACAACACTAAAGTCCACCAAAGAATGAACAAGTAAATAAAATGTGGTGTCTACACATGATGGATACTAATGTAGCCTTAGTGAAAAAGGAAATCCATCATCACATTCTACAACGTGAACGAACCTTGGAGAGGGACCTCACGCTAAGTGAAAGAAGGTAGTCACAGACAGGTAAACACCGCACAATCCCACTCACATGAATTACCTCACACAGTGAAGACTGCAGATACAGAAAGGTGGCTGCCACGGCCGAGGGGAAAGGAATTAGCGCTGATGGGTATGGAGCTCCAGATTTGCAAGATGAAAAAGTCCCATACTTCTGCCACTGAACTACATGCTTTTGTAAAGATGACAAATTTAGTGATATATAAGAAAAAACGAAAGAAAGAAAAACTTGGACTAAAAAGATTTATAAAAAAAAGAAATTGTAGTCAGGTTAATTCAAAGATATTAATTATATGTAAAACCTAGGAAGGATACACTTTAAGAAAAAGTAGGAGAGGGCATATTTAATTTAAGAAAAGGAACATTAAGTGAAAACTGAAAGAATTAACAAGAGAAGACTACCTAACACTTGTACTGGGCTCTGCGTAACTGGATCTAATTAATACATTTTTTAAAACAATTGATTGTGGTGTTTGGGATGTATCTTTGAACAAAACAAAGATCTCTGACCTCGAGAAATTTTACATTCTGGTGAGGAGGGACGAACAACAAACACAGTAAGTATTGTAGGCTTCTCGTAATTCTTCCCTGGTGTGTGACAGGACCTAACGAATAGAACACAGCAAAAGTGACGACGTATCACTCCGAAGATTAGGTTGTATGAGACTGATTTCTGTTTTGCTCACACACTCTTGTTCTCGCTTGCTCTGATGAAGACAGCTGACATCTTATGACTGGCCTGCGTCAGGCCTTTTAGAGGTGAGGTACGGAGGGCAGCTTCCAGACAGCAACTGGCGCTGAGCCCAGTCCAACACCCCACAGGATCGCAACTGTGCCAACAAGCACATGAATAAACTTACGATGAATCCATCTCCAGGGGTGGCTGGAGACAATAAAACCCTGACCAATACCCGGGTGCAGCCCAGGAGGGAACCTGAAGTAGCGAGTTCACCCAGATTCCTGACAGAAGCTAACAGAGTAAGCATTATTTTAAGCCACCAAGTTACTGAATGATTATTTGACACAGCACCATGTAACCAGTATGCTAAAAGAGATACTTAAAAAAAAGAGGAGAGTAAAAGGGCAAATAATTGTCAAAGTGAATTACAATTTTAAGAACAGGAATTACAAAGATTGCACATGAATGTTTAGAACAGCATTATTCATGCAAGTCAAAAACAAACTCAAATGACCATCAGTTGGTGAACAGTTAACAAAAATGTGTCACCTCCATCCAACCGAATACTCCCCAGCCGCAACAGCAGCAACAAAAAGGCCTGATACGTGTGCAACAATGATGGGTCTCAAATACACAGCAGGGGCTCCTCAGTCCGTGCCTGACTCCAAGATTCCGGGCACAAACCAAGTTAGAGGACAACTCACTCAAATTCAATGGCTACGTTCAATGGTGACCTTACAGGCAGATTTGACTCAGTTCTCATCCAGTTCGGTTTATGACTAGAATCGTGGAAAGAGTTGAGTATGTGAACCGAAGTATCACTGTATTATCTAAGCAAAGGAATTCACCACAAAACGCCAAATACTGAATCATTCCATTAACATGCAACTTTCAGAAAAGAAAGTCTGTTGGGCATGGTGGTCCACGCCTGTGATCCCGGCACTCCGGATGCTGAAGCATGAGGATTCCTGTGAGTTTGAGGCCAACCGAGGCCACATAGCCAAATTCAAGGCCAACCTTCATGACATAGTGAGACCTTGATTCAAAAAAATGAAAGACAAAAACAATCTATAGAGATAGAAAATAGCTGCCTGCTTGTTTAGGTGGAAACTGGATTAACTGCAAATGAGCACAAAGGATTCCACTGGGATGATGAAACCATGTTTATCGGGAACATGGCAGTGATGGCACAAAAAGAACAAATGTACTAAAATCACTGAGCTGAACAATTAAAACCGATAAATTTATGGTATGTAAATTATACCTCAAAAAATTTACTAAATAAAAATGCAAGAGTTCATAGAACACCACTGAAAACATACTAGTAAAAAGCTGAAGAAGGAAGGAAACCACAATGTGACTATCTAAAGGAAAATAGCAGGTAGCAGAGAACGTACGCAGAGACCTGGAGGATGAAAAGCCTGGTGTGCCAGCAGCACAGCAGGGCGCATGGGAGACGCCATGAGAGGGGAAGCTAGGAGATGAGGTGATCGGCACAGGTGATGGGTGGAGGGTGACGGTGGCAGTAACCATGCAGAGCTGGTCAATCTCTGAGAGGAGTCTGGCTCACCTGTGGACAAAGTGGGCAGAGGAATGACATGACACCTTGTGTTTTTAAAAGACCATACAATGTAATGAAAGTATAAAGAGAAGGAATCAAAGGTTCCACATAACTAGCTGGCTCTGAAGCTACTGACCTCTCCTTAATGACTGCGTCAAAGGAAAAATGAATTCCTGAAAAAAAGGAGTCTTAAGATGTGGCCCAGCAGTCAGCTGCACCTGAACCTGCTCGGGGCTGGTAACACACGGGGACCAACAACAGTGCTGGGGGTGACACTGAATGGCCCAGGTTTCACAGGGGCTGGCTCTGAGAACAGTGAAAGAGACGAGCATTCAGATCCCTTCAGTGCTATGAGAAAGGCAAGGGCCTGTGACACAGGGCCATCTGAAGTGGTTCCCCATTGTCTGACCGTCTTACCCAGTTGTTCTTCTTTCCGGCATAAATTTCCATGTTCTCTCCATACTGAGGCTCCTCCAGCAGCGTCTGATACTCAAACATGAGGCGTGAGCTCTCGCGCAGGCGGCTGCACTGAAACTGGTGATACTGCTGCACAAGCTCCTTCACCACCAGCAAGAGGCACTCGGGGTTGGCGGGGTTCCAGGAGGCGAGGTTCTGCAGAGCCACAGACAAGGAGCAGTGAGAACACTGTTCTTACAAGTCCCGCGTCACATTCACGCGGCAACACAGAGGGAGCAGGGCATCAGAGTCTACTCCAATTAGCCTGAGCCCAGGGGTGAGGTGAGCAGGTCTTGTGATCTTGGTGATTCCTCCTGCCTTCTACACTCCAGCAGAAAAAGCTACATGATTCCATCAAAAATAGGCAGAAACAGTAAAGTATACCACAGAGTAGTAGCAAAACAAGACATCTAAATATCCCAGCAGACACAATGTCAGCACTAGAGGTTTTTTCATATTCTTTTATAATTTTAACCCTTTTCAACTGACACCTAAACTCAGTATTATATTTTAGAGTAATTTAACTATAGATTCACAGACTATTGACCTCTGTGACTCTAGATGTAAATAGATGCTCACTAAACATTAAAGCCTCAAGGAAATATAAACACAATACTAATGGTTTGATTTGAAAAAGATAGGAGTGGAATAAAGATACGGAAAAATACAATTAGGAAATACAGAATTGGGGGCAGAAGCAGGAGGGAGCTGTGAAATCGTATGACCAGAAAACCTGCTGGAAATGGGGGGAGACCTGCTAAGTGGATCCTTGTTAATCTCTATTCATTCATCCATAAATATGTCCCAGTGTCTACTATGTATCAGCCACTGTTCTAAGCAGAGAAGAAAATAAGCCAAGTTTCAGGTTTTAAGAACTTATATTTCAATGAGAAAAACTAGTGAAAATGTCATTGAGAAAACAACATTACACATTCTAGAAGCCTAGTGAGGAGGTTCTTCAGGGAAAAGAAGTGATGACCCACATCAAACAGTGCTGATGGAATTCCCTACTGAGTCTGTTACACGCAGATCCACCGGTGGTGTCCTCAACAAATGCTGTTTTGGTGGAATAAAGCTTTACTATTAAGAGTTTAGAAGAACAGATGGAAAGAAACTGCACACAACTAGCACACACAACTCAAACTGGGAACTCGAGCGAAACATGAGGTCAAAGGAAAGTTGCATATGGATCTTTGCAGACTGATGGAATATTCCTGCAACGAGTGGGGGAAGCGATGATGTCAGAGAGGGAAGGAGCAAATACCAGGACAGAAGGTAATGAGGAGGCAGGCAAGGTGTGTCAGTTACTAGGCAGGTATTTCAGAGCCCCATCCAGGAAGCCGAGGAGAAGCTAACTAAATAAGCATGGACGCAGAGAGGATACTCCGTGTGGTAATGGGAGCTTGTGGCAGCTCGCTTCTGCAAGCTACATTTTCTCCATAACATGGGAAAGAAGGTGGTCATCTAAGAATGAGGAAGGAAGAGAGAATTCTCGAAGTCTGAGATGAAATAGTCATTTCCTAAATGAAATAGTCATTTAGGAAAGTTATTTAAGAGGGTAAATGAACTGGAGAGATGCAACAGGAATTCCAGATAGCAATAAAAGCTCCACTGAGATCACAAGTATGACAAATTAGCCTACATTCCACTGCTTGAGTATAGATATGAAGAAGGAGGAATCTGGCTAAAGGTTGGGTTTTGTCAAACAAATCCAATAGACAGAAAGAAGGAAGCAGATCTTTGAGGCTGTGTAAAATCATTCCAACGATGGGTCACGAGTATTAGGCCGAGAAAAAGCCAAGCTAAGTTTTTAAGGAGCTAATAAAAAGGTAGTAAGACCACTGGATTGTAGGGCATGGTCAGCCTGAACAACGCTGGGAGTGGAGATGTGACAAAGAATGAACTGGACAGACAAAACGGTGTGTTTAGAAGATGGAATGTTTGCCACTGGAGATGATAAAGGCTTTATATAACTGATACCAACAAGGTCTGAGGTATCCTAACCATATGCAAGGCTACAAGAGAGTGAAAGACAAAATCACTGCAGGAAAAGTTAGGGACTGAGAAGCCCGAGTACTGGAAGAACCATTTAATTTTCATGGATATTAAAAATTATCCAATACCATGACACGAGTAGTACGGAGAAGGTGACCAGAAGCCAGGTGCTAAAATCCTTAAGAGGAGCATGGAGGGGACCTTTACATAACAAGGGTGGATTAATGGGTCCTGGAGTCTGCTCACAAAAGTTTCAAGCTGAGGGTGGTTGGGAACAGTAAGGAGTGTTTATTCGTCACTTTTCCGTCACTAGGATAAAATATCCAACACCCAAAACGTAAAGGAGGAGAGGGTTATCTGGCCTGTGGTTTCAAAGGTCCAGCTGATGGCTGGCTGGCTCCAAGGCAAGAGAACAATCGGCTACATTTATTTGAGAAGCAAGAACACAAGCAAAATCTTGGCAGATCCGCAGTAGTGGCTCTGAGCTTCACATGACATCACCTGAAGAACCTGAGCACCACTCCCAGTGCCTGGGCCCTATCCAGCCCAACCCATATTCTGACTTAAGTGGTTCAAACCAGAATGTGTGCTGGATATTGGGGACTGTTTTCCCCTAAAAGCTCCAACATGATTCTAACAGCAGTAAATGTTGAGAATCACTGACTTGGAAGACACAGAGAAGAAAAGTTTGTGATATTGTGAACTTGATAATAGGCCATGTAAATATCTAAAAATACCCAATTTCTACAAGTGTAGAAATCTAGCACCAATAAAGGAAAGCACTAATATATCACAAAATATTTAACAGGTAATAATTACATAGCTTGCCAAATACTACATAAATCCTAAGATTTTATATATTCAAGTTAAGCATTATGGCAGTCTTGTAAGTTAACTATTATTCCATTTTACAGATGAAGAAACTAAGGCAACAGGTAGTTCCAAATCTAGACTAAGTCACAGAGCCACTAAACAATAAAGTTGGGGTTTGGCCACAAGCAATTTGTCTGTAAATCCCTGCTCTTAAGAACAACACTAGAGATTCTCAATCATTTTGATTTTAGGAAATTTTACATGGTTAAAAAGTATTGAGAACCCCCAAAGAGCCTCTCTCTACATATATGAGTTATATGGATTAATATTTACTATAATTAATATATGCTGTATTAAAAATAAAAACTGAGAAAATTTTTCAAAATATTGAATTCATTTTAAAATGACAAACCCACTATATGTTAAGATGAATAACACTTTTTAATGAAATAACTACATTTTCAGAAAATGGTGAGAAGTATGGTATTGTTTTGCATTCTTAAAAATCTCTTTAAAGTCTGATTTAATAAGAATTGGATTCTCGTATCTGTTTCTGCATTCAATCTGTTGCAATATGTTATTTTGGCTTAAGTATATGAAGAAAATTAGCCTTAGTCACACATGCAGCTTGAAAAAGAGAAGTGCTTTAAATAGTCTTTTCAAATGATTCTGGATATTCTTTGATACTACAACAAAACTCAACAAGTGGAACCAGGCACAGTGGTGTGCATCTGTACACCCAACTACTCAGGAGACCAAAGCACGGGTAGATCACTTGAGTGCAGGAGATCAGGGTCAGCATAAGCAACATAGCAAGATCATATCTTAAAAACAAAAAATATGCCCGGGATTTAGCTCAGCAGCATAAGCGCCTGCCTGGTAAGTACAAGGTTGTGAGTTTGATCCCTGGTACAAAAAAAAAAAAAAAAAAGAACTAAACAAGTGGTAGCTTCTCGAAGGCTAGCTGGAATGTGGATTGGAATCTTTATGAATAAAGACTTCATATTTTTACATGAATTCCATTTATCTATCCTGTCAATTGAGTGGGTCATAATTATGTACATTATACATTGATCATTTAGAAAATACTGATTTAATGAGTTATCCCAATACTGACAAGTTTCATTCATTTAATAATTAAAGACAGTCATTAATATCACCAATCTCATAAGAAAATCTTTAAATAATTAAAGACATCAGCCTCTGGGGAGAAAACACATGTTTCCCAAAACACCCACTGTCACTTGAAAGCCAGAATCTTATCAGTGGCAACAAATATTGTCAGTTGTTTTAAGTGATAAATGTACCTTATATGTTTCAAAAAAAAAGTTTAGCAAACACTCAGATCCTAATATCCTCAGATCATCTACCAATCATTCTTTCAAGGAAAAAGATAAGCCCAAGAACAAAGCAGCTGGTCCAGCTTGTAATTCAAACCACCACACTCGTAGTTCTTTAAAATCTGTATTCATTCTCAATACCCCCAGAAATCCAATCTCTAGATCTCCAGCTAAAAACATAATTAAAATCTAACCTAAGGGGTAAAAAAGCCTTATAAACAAAAACACAGAATCATTTATAATATCATGAAATTATAATCAAAATGCCTGTGTCTTAAGTTACTTTTCTCGTTGTTACCCAACAGTCACAAGTTAAGAGAGGAAAAGTTCATTTAGCTCCTAGTTTAAGAAGTGTTAGTCCCTGGTTAACTAGCTCCACAACAGGGCAGCATGGCAGAGAGGCATTGAAGGGGAGGAACAGCGCGGGGCAGGGCAGGGCAGGGCAGGCAAACGGCAGCAGCAACCTTCCTTCTATCCATTTATATTCTATCTAGGCTGTAGGCCTATTGATTGGCACCCCCACACCCAGGATGGAGCACCCTTAATCCTAACATCACATCCTTAATCCCAGCATCACACATCCCAGATGCAGCCACACGAGAAAAGCCCCACCTATGATTGCATGAAGCTTTGAGGGGACATCCAAATAAAAGCTATGGCAGCCAGATAATAAGAAGTGTTTTTAAAACCATTAAAGTCATCAAAAGGAATAATAAGCAACCAATGTTTCTATGCATATGTTACAACAACAGAAAATACTTGTTAACATTCTAAATGAAGACAGAGATAGTAATCTGTACATATATAACACATTATGATCACATCTTTGGATATCCTCATTTCAGTTCTCCACAGCAAAAGCCATTTATACACAGAAAATTGACTCGCAAAAAAAATCAATACATGATATCCACAGTTGGAAGTTATTTAGAAGGATTTTTCTCTTCTCATTGTTGCAACTTCTCCAAAATTTTTGAGCATATATTTATATGTGTATGTACATATATG